GTTTACTGATTTACTATCAGAGACTTGTTTTTGATGGACAAGGGCCTCGATCCTTTTGAGGAAAGTCCCATATTAGCTTCGGCCGGTAATAAAGTATTTCGCCACCGTTCCCCTAGCCTTGATGCAGGAACCTGAAGGCGTAAAAGACTGGAAAAAATTTCGACCGCGACAGCAATCAAACATAGCTTGAGATGGTTGGAATGCGAAGAACACTGCCAGGCTCTAAAAGCATTGCGAGAGGGACAACTCGTTCCACAGATTCGAGATGTCTGTAACCAGGGTGAAGTGAGAATTGGCCAGTATCATCTAGATGGTTACGATGATAACACTGGTACGAATTCACGGGGTGTGCCTATCACGGGTGTCCTCGCTGTTACCGCAGTCCCATACAATACGTTAAACATCATCACCCCTATGATCTGTCTAGAACCAAGGGTGATCTGTATTAACATACCCAAGATCGACTTTACAAATTACGTCATGTGTATTGCCTATCAGAGATCAAAGGCCTGTGGGAATGTGAACTGAACGAGAAACGTCGTCGTCGTAATCCTGAGATGGAAGAATTCTTTGCCTTGTCGCATAGAGCTGGCTTTTTTGGAGGAAGAACCAATGCCTGTCAATTAATGGCCAAAACCGAACATCTCGACGAAGAGCTTCGATACCTGGACGTGGTATATCTTTAACCTTGGGTGTTTAAATATGGTAAAACTCCCCTCAAAGAACCACACATCACCATACGACCAGTACGAAGGCCTCGTTCAGTGTTCCGTGCTTCCACCCCGTCAATTCTATCATCCCGTGCTCCCATTTCGATACAATGGTAAACTTACCGCTCTGCTGTTTCGGAGCTGTGTGGAACAACACATGCAGACGACTGTACAAACAAACAGAAGCCTGGGTAGGAACGAAGTCATGTACGAAGTGTGTCATTGGAGCGAATGGAGCAAGTACGACAATCAATCCAAGTCTGTGCGATTATTTGCTGGAAACATCGATCGTTACTTAAAAAAAAGATGAAAGCTAATGGATATCCGGACGATTGCTAGTTGATATCCGGACGACGATAAACGACGTTTCATACAAGACGTGTACAAGGAAAGTATTCAACTAGATCAGAAGCCATGGTACCAAACAAAGGTCTGAGAAGCTTTAGCAAGCTACAATTAAATACATTATGGGGACGAGACAATTTTACCCAAACAGTGTGCATGACAGAATCTACCGATTACTTGCCACTCATTATGGATGTCACCGAAACCATCAAATGTGTTCCGAGTCGTGAACGAACACATGATTATGGTGGTAAAGATCAAAAAAGAAGAACACCTCCAGCCTTGTCCCATTACCAACGTCGTCGTTGCTGCTTTTATGACAGCCCAAGCCCGGTTAAATTTGTATTCGATATTGGAACCGCTAGGAGAACGTGTGTGCTACTTTGATACAAACAGGATCGTTTTCAAAAACGATCAGAATCAATGGGGTCATCCAGAAGGAAGCTCTATAGGCGAATAGAAGAACGAATTACACGAAACATTGTCGATGCGCCAGTTCGTATCTGATGGACCCACGAATTACGCCTATCAACTCATATCAGCGATATACGCTCGATTACCAAAACAGTCAATTGTTAAATTTCGACACCGTCAAACAGAAGGTACTTGGTCTAGCTCAATACAAAATTAAAGTCACCAATGGTTAAAATGTCCTGATGTCCTGATGTCGGGTTGTCGCCGTATGAAGGGCGGCACTACAACATCGGACATGATATCAATCAGCCACCATTATGTAAGACATTCCACATGTAACTTATTTATCGCTGAATACTGTTCAACAGAAGCCTACTCCTTAATTATCACACAGTAATAATTTAATAGCTAACATTAGCCATCCCACATCGCCACCTATGGGGTAATTTGATTTAATGCGAGGACAGCCTTTGGGCAATGTGACAAAATCAATATTAAAATTAAGCAATACTACGTATATTCTATTTAATTTCCTACAACGTTTATTACTATTTTCGCCAGGTTTTAAGGGGAAAAAAATGAATGGCCTTACGGTAATTTCTAATCAGTTATGTTCGGCGAAATACGCCAGAAGTCTCAATCGAATGGCAATCTCTGGCGTCTCGTTTTTCCAGTCTACACCGAGAGTATTTTTTGGCGCATACTCTCCAGATAAGAATGACTTGACTTGTGTAATGGTAAGATCTATTTGATAAGGTCAACTTCAAGTTTGGTCAAAGGTCACGAGATATAAACAGGGCTAGCGCTAATCCCAACCCTAACCCTGGACCTCGCCCTAATGCTTACCCTACCTATAACCTACAATCTCGTCAATAATCACGTGACCTAACCTTATTTACGTCTCAGAGACCTTGATGAAAATTGAGCTGCTTTAACAAAAAGATTTAGCCCTTGTGGAATATGTCTAGCCTCGTTCTTCAAGTCCCTTGTTACAAATGGAGCTGAGACGCATTATGATACACGATTCCTGTACCATGGTATAGCCCCCGATTGTACGAAAAATCACGCTTTTAACTTGTGGTCCCTCTAGAGGTCACAATTTTTATCCGATTTAAAAAAAAAAAAGGGTTTTAGTATATCACCGTTACACCCTAATGATGGTTGAGTTCGAATTTCGTGAAAATTGGACCAAAAATGTCGGACAAAATGGCCGCCCCTTGTAAGCAAATAGTGTGAACATCTGGTATATCAAGGTTGTGTGCCTCCTAGAGGTCACAATTTTGATTCGATTTTGATGAAACTTGAAATGCATGTTTATAACCCAAAGATCTTGGTTCCTTTCGATATTGGTGCATATTGGATCATAACTTCCTGAATTATGGCCCTTGATTGTACGAAAAATCGCGTTTTGAGCTTGTGGTCCCTATAGAGGTCACAATTTTTATCCGATTTTTAAAAAAAACCGTGTGAATATATCACAGTTATACACACTAATGATGGTTGAGTTCAAATTTCGTGAAAATTGGACAAAAATTGTACGCAAATAGTGTAAAAATATGGTATATCAAGGTGGTGGACCCTCTAGAGGCCACAGTTTTTATCATAAAGATCTTGGTTCCTGTTGATAATCACACATATCTGAACGTAAATTCCTGGATCCTGGCCCCTGATTGGTCGAAAAATCGCATTTTTAGCTTGTGGATTCTCTAGAGGTCACAATTTTTTTTCCGATTTTAAAAACCGTTTAGATATCTCACCATTCAACCATAATGAAGGTTGAATTGGAATTTCGGGAAAACCGAAATGAAACTGTCCGACAAAATGGCTGCTCTTTATACGCAAATTGTGTATAAGTATGTAATACAAAGGTTATGGACCCTCTAGAGGTCACAATTTTTATCCAATTTTGATGATACTTAAAACATAACTTTATATTCCAAAAATCTCAGTTCCTTTAGATATTTGCGCATTTAAGACCATAACTTTGTGGATTATGGCCCCTGATTGTACAAAAAAATCTTGTTTTGATGATACTTAAAACATATCTTTATATTCCAAAAATCTCAGTTCCTTTAGATATTTGCGCATTTAAGACCATACCTTTGTGGATTATGGCCCCTGATTGTACAAAAAAATCTTTTTTTGTTTTTAGCTTGTTCTCTATCCATCTCTTGCAAAATGTGGGCGTATCCTGCCTGGCAGCCGCTGGTTGATATTTTCCGGCACTGATTTTATGAGTTAGTTCAATGACGCTGTGCGAGTGACATTGAACTATGGAAGCCTATAACTACCATTCCTAATTTCTACTTTTCGCCTCTTCAGAACACGAAAGTCGAAAAGTCGAAAAGTCGAAGTTACGACAAAATGTGAGGCGACAAGACGGTATACAAGCCAAAATCAACTCGAAAATAGGAAATTAAGAAATAACACACCGCGATAATAGCGCCCCCCGTTTTTTCTTAATTTCTACTTTTCGACTTGCGTTTTGGCTTGTATACCGTCTTGTCGACTTTCGACTTAGTCATATTTTTGTATTTATTGATGTCAGTAAGACGGCGCCAACACGCTATACAAGCCAAAATGCAACTCGAAAAGTAGAAATTAGGAAATTAACACACTGCGCTATTAGCGACCTGTGATCTGACGTACTGTCGACTTTTCGACTTTTCTACTTTTCGCCTATGAAGTTGTTGTAGTCTCTGCCTTCCAGGTCACATTTGAATACGCGCAATTCCCGTTAACAAAAATGTCTGTGTGATAGAGTCTAGTAATGATGCCGATTATTTTATTAATATCTCGATCAAGCTTAAATTGTAAGTTTTATAATAATACTGACGACTGTATAATTTAATTTTCCATCGCCAACACTGATTACATTGTAAAGACTGGTTTAGAATTTTAATTTGCATAATACTAGACTCTATCACACAGACATTTCGACTTGTCATGTTCTGAAGAGGCGAAAAGTAGAAATTAGGAATGGTAGTTATAGGCTTCCATATTGAACTGATATCAGATCCCAATTGTTTGGGTATCCTGAAATAGACTAGCCATGACTTCCAATCGTGTTCGCATAAGTAGATTTGTTGACAATAAATAAATAATGAAATGAAGTCTATGGTATTGGTGAAAGGTAAATGCGTTTGTGATGTGTCTTGAAAGTTTTTCAGCGTAAACAATTCAATGAGTCCCAGAAAGGCCAAGGGCCATACATTCAATTCTCTTAACACCATAAGTAAACACATTTTCCTTATTTTCTATGGTAGCTGCAGCCCTTCGAAAATTAATTGATTGGATGAAAGGTCTTGGAGACGTCAGAATTTCTATGGAAACGCGAACTCCGGCGGTTGTATGCTGACCATATAAGGAAGGGTAAAATTCATTGAGAAGGTTCTAAATTAGAGATCGATTCGGCCGCGGGACGTGGTAGTTTTCACCAAATAGTGGCAAAAATAAAAGCAATCAATATACTGAGTAGTTTTCAGTGACGTCAAAGGGTTCAAACTGGTTGTCACAGGTTTACGCACACTGTCTCGAGGGCTGGCTTACTGAATGGGTTTGTGACTTAAGTACAACTACGCTCATTTAGTAGTGAGATTTAGACAGTGACACTTCGCTGCGATTTCTACGTTATAATATACCCAGCTGTTGACAATATTTAGATCCAGGAATGCAGCAGGTGTGATTTTATGAAGCGCCATTCCTTCATTAAATAATTAATTGACAAACGTGAACGAAGGTAGGCTTGTTATTTGCTTTCATTATAAAATAGTTATTGGATTTCTCCGATATTAATATTATAAAGGCCGGGGTAGCCCACGTTTTATTTATTTAAAAATGATATGTGGACCTTAACAAAACATGCGGTTTCTTTTCTTGGTATAGGTAGAACTATAGGCGTGATTTCCCTTTCAATTTATACAACTAGGCCCTATACATCATGACATTTTCTTATTGATAAGGAAGCTCCAGTGTAGCTATGGACTGTAAATATGCACCAGTAATTAATGTCTCCCTTTAAAGATGTTTTTTTTTTACGTAAATACAAAATAACTTTCTGGAATTATCTAGCAAACCTTAACGTCAAGACTTGATTATTATTAACAATAGAAGAAACGTGCTAAACTAAATATGCTACTAATGACAAAATCTGATAGTCTGTCTGATGGATGAAAGATTTCAATCCATACGAAAATTTTGCCAAGTTAATTTCAAAATCAGAGTAGGCCTATTAGAAACTGTCACCAATTTTACTTTAGATTGGCTGGTCTACTTCTTTACATTTCTGACTGTTTGTGCTGTTTTGTTCGACAATTGCTGTATTACTATTATTATGGACAGGAAGATTTGTTATAAACTTATGAAACAGAAATGGGCTAATAGCTTTATAGTGGCGCTAAGCCTTTTATGACATAAGTATGATAAGTTGGTGAGAATAAATGGACATAGGTAATTTTTAACAAGATTTTTTGGTTACAGTGGAGATGACAATACAGAGAAAAGTATTCTAAAGGCTAAATAAATAAATGAAATAATGTCTAGGCTACTTACAAGCTTCGCTCGTTTTTAATAAATTTTAATGTGTCATTTCGTATGCTCAACGTTTGGGCTATGTCGATTAAAATCCTGAGATATAAATAAACAATAATTATTGACGTAGGTCAAGCGATAATCAATCGGTTGAATACGATTTTAAAGTGGGGCCATTATATATTATTTGTAATGAATAAAGGGCCTGATTTTCAAACAATTCAATTTGTGATTTACCGTCCATGTTTCAAGCTTTATTTTGCATGTCCACGATTCGAGTTACATCCCTTTAATTGGTTAGCGATACCGTATAGGCTACTGTTTATGTAAGACAATACTTTAATTCGAAAAGTTTGATTGCATTCATGTTGTTTTTTTAGCAGCTAAACGGTCGTATCCCGTTAGGCGTTATTTCACCACACATTACTCTTTTACTATAAATTGACAACCATATGGACTTCTGTTGCGACATAACTACTGTCCAATCAATAAGCATCTAAAAATAACTACCTCCGCGAAATAAAGTAGTGCGTTCTTTTCTTGAATATTGTTGATATTTAACATAACTGTCATGTTTCCTTATTTCACAGTTTGATTCAAGAATATAATGAACTGGTCTTTATTTTAAAATTATTTCAAATTACTAACTCTAAAAAAGAACATCTGTTAAACGGCGTATTAATTTTGCTATCGTTCGTTGACAATCGGTAGAACGTAATATTCTGCCAATTCTGCAAATTGCCTCGCGTGGGGAAAGAGCTGTCACTGTAGTGTATGTATAGTAAGTGTATAACAGATTTTATTTAATTCTGTTTCCAGACGCCGACATATCCACACCAAAAAGTTTCAGCTATAATGGAAAACGTGGATTTAGACAGCCGTTTTCAAGTTTTAGGATATGAACAAGTTGTGCGACTAAATGAAGTCTTAGAAGATGTGGTTCCTATTCACGGCCGCGGAAATTTTCCAACATTAGAATTAAAACTAAAAGACTTGGTTAAAATTTTACGGGATAAGTTGAAAAGTGAAGGAATTGTTATTCGTGATGTTCGATTAAATGGAGGGGCAGCTTGTTACATTCTCGGCACAGAAAAAATCCAAGCTTATAAAGATTTAGATTTGATTTTCGGTGTTGAACTATCGAATCATAATGAGTTGCAGAAAATCAAGAACTGTGTTCTGGAATGTCTCATAGACTTCTTACCAGACGGTGTGAATAAAGAAAAAATGACTAGTTGCAGTTTAAAGGAAGCATATGTTCAGAAAATGGTTAAAGTTTGCAACGAACACGGCGATAGATGGAGTTTAATTTCTTTACTCAATAACAAGGGACGAAATATTGAACTGAAGTTTGTCGGTAAAATGAAACGTCAATTCGAATTCAGCGTTGATTCGTTTCAAATTATTCTTGATAGCTTGTTAACATTTTATGGTATATCTGACAAAGCTATGCTTAGTGAACATTTTTATCCTACAATTGTTGCTGAAAGTCTGTACGGGGATTTCTGTGAAGCATGGTCTCACTTAATTAAAAAGAAGATAGCGACACGTTGTCCAGAGGAGATCCGCGGTGGAGGTTTGTTAAAATATTGTCACCTGATTGTCCGTCACTATACTGCAGCTGATGATGTAGACGTAAGGACAATGGAAAGGTATATGTGTTCACGGTTTTTCATTGATTTCGGTGATATACTTCAACAGAGACAGAAGCTTAGTGCTTATCTTGAAAGCCATTTTATTGGCGAAGAGGAGCTAAAATATGAGTATTTGACAACATTATATCGAGTTGTTGATGAGAGTACAATCTGCTTAATGGGCCATGAAAGAAGACAAACACTTAATTTAATACATCAATTGGCTTATCAGGTGTATATGGAAGAGGAACAAAAGGCTCAGGCTCAAGCTAAATGTATTGAACTTGCCCAATTGGATCAATTAAATAATCTGGTAATTGATCAAGTGTTTTATGGTCCCTTCACACCAACACCCTCATCAGGAAGTCAATACATTAATACCTATTCAAATACCTACATGCCTTCTGTGTATCAGGGCCCACCTTCCCCATCATGTCCATACTGTCCGCAGTATCTTCCGTGCTCCTAACTGAACTGACACCCTCGAAGATTATATTTTTTTGTGATGAGGGACCAGACAATTTATTCCAAATTTCTGTGATCATCAAAACATTCTTGATTGATTCAGGATGTGTACACTTATTTAAGTATGCAGATTATCACTGAGTATGGTATTTGCATAATTTGTGTCAGGACCAACTGTCAGTATGTGTCAATGAAAATGTATTGGATTTGTGTGATTCAGTAAAAAGGAATACACAGTTAAAATGCACTTATTATAATTCCAAAACATGGTTCAAATGGTTGAAACATATGGATGTATCCTTATTTCTGTAGTCGGATGTAAAAGAGCTTTTGTGTGATTAAATATGGAAAGCTGTAATTGCTCAGTCATACACGTGTACAACTATATAATGTGCTATAATATTTTTCATTTTCTGTACAGCTATATTATTATTATTTTTAGTGAAAATATATATATATACATATGTATGTATATAGCCTATTTGTTTTAATTTCTATTAGAAACCAAACTGTGTTTCAATGAATTAATTGTAATGTGGAACATAAAGTATTATTATTTGTATGTCTGCACTTCAGGGTTTCACCGGGGCTCCTTTCCAATAATGATATGATCGTGAATTTTCTTAAAGGTTTTAAAGGTTACATAAATTTTTCTTGGAGCTCTCCTCTTTCCTTGAATATGTTTTATTTGGAATGGGAAGCTTTACATGTATACATGGTTGTACATTTTCACTTGTACCTGAACATGCACATATGCAATTGGAAGTATGTTGACCACCCTTTTGTCAAAGAAAAACAAATCCTTATAAAAATGACAGAATTATCTCTTTCATTTTAAATCTATAGATGTACATGTATGGGAGGCTAAAGCTTTTTATTTGTTCATTTGCAGTTGGCAAGCTTGACAACATTTGCAGAATTTAGGGAATTTTTTGTTTATATTTAACGTTCCTTAAGTAAATGTGGTAATAAATATAATATTATTATTTAAAATAACTTGTATGCAAGAATCAATTTTCCTTTAATTACTTCTTAAACATGACCTGGAAAAATAAAAAGTGGATTTCAACAATTTTGATCGAAAAGATACATGTACCTTTTGGAATGACACTGATTTTCCTTGAATAAGCTCACCTATATTTATGTACATGTACAGTGAAAAGTGCATTAGCTTAAATTTTTATTTAAAAAGCTTCTCCACCATAATCATCTTTGGAATGTATGGTTGGTGTTTATACTACCCTACTATTCAAATTGTGGTTACTGTGTTTACCGTAAGCGTAGTCATGACATTTTCTTCTGTTTTTCTAGATGACATTGTGCCTTTAACATAACAGTGATGGAAGTCATTAGATTAAATAAAAAGTAAATACACTTACATGTATAACTTTGTTCATAAAAATGCGACCTTTTTTTTTTTTTAAAGCCATGCACATATTGTTGTTAATGAAGTTTTATTTTAAAACCCCCAAAAATAAAATTCCAGATTGTGTTCTAAAAACGTGTCAGAAAAACAGTTTAATTTCATATTTATTGTTCAATTCAGATGTGAAGTGATAGATTTTAAAGAGAAACATGTGTATAGTACATGTATATAGATTTATCTCTTACTGGACATGACAGTTTAACATTAGTGATATACATGTACTTTAAATACATTATATCTTATCTAGTGGTTAAGGATGTTATGGCTTTGTCTTCATGACTCAATGTTGACAGTTTGGTTTTTTCAGCTTTATATATTATACTGTATAAGTTCTCATTAAAAGCGCACAAAGATAATCTTCCTTGGTTGATACAGAATTTTGATTATTTTATTATGCACTCAGTGGTCATTTACACTTATTAAATAATGCCTTGATTTAATTCATAGTTGTATTAAATTGCATCTTTTAGTACATGTAACAGATGTGCATAAGAGTGCGTATGTGAAGTTAACATTGAATTACATATTGATCTCTTCACAATGTTTGATTTACATTTGAAAAAAACACCAGAACAGTAATGGATTGTATACCTGTATTGTACGTGACAATTTTCTTTATTTCGCATTTAAAATACAAATCATAAACTCAATGTTCTCAAATTCTCCAGTGTATTGTTCATCTTGGTAACCATCAACATTTTTGATATATCACAATAAATTGTTCAGTTCAACTTGAAAGTAACAAAACGCTTTGAAAACATTGGCAACTTAATATTCAAAAATTAGATAACAATTCTGAATGTTTTTCAAGTAAATACCTCAATAGAAAAATGAATTGAAATGAAATGAACTATATTTGAAAATGCACGTAGAATCCAATATTCGGTAATATTCATAGCTTTTATGTGTTTGGTGCAATACATGTACATGTATATTCTGAGTGTCTCCAAGTAAAAAAAAAAATGGCAGCATGCATGTAAAATAATATCTTGCTTTACATGTAATTGTAATTATATGTGTTAAAGCATACATGTTAATCAATGAACATAAACTTTTATTTTATGAAATACATATGTTATATATTATGAGGTCTGTCATAAAAATGGTGAATTCCACCCTGTGGCACAGATTATTTTAGAAGAGCTACAAATATATATTTAAAGATAATGAAAAACAGAGGCTGGACCTTTGAATTTATTTGAAAGATGTGCTATACTAATTACATGTATTTGTATGAAATGTTAGTTTATAGCTATTATACTAGTGAAAGTACAATATACATGTATGAAGTACTAGTTGAATATGACTGAAGGCTATGGTTGATTTAATTGTTGAAGAATAATTTTCAGTCCTCACAATGCTCAATACATATAAAATATAATAATTGTTATCTAGTGCTTGTAAAGTGTTAATTTGATCAGATCTTTCAACTAACTAAAAAATTCATTAATATATATATATATATTTATATATATATATATATATATATATATATATTAACCCTGTATGTTATTCTTCAGGATTAAAAAAAATATAAAGGACCAAAAATTTTAAAAAAATATATGTGCATGTATCATATTGATATATACATTATGTAGCCTACTTTAAAATTTGTCAATTTTTTCTCTGTTTGTGTACTATTAATAAAGTGTTCTATCCAGGGTCCTGTTTGTAATCTGTTGACATAACTAACCACCAGACCTTAAATGTGGTCCTGGTTATTTTTATATAATCATATAATACATGTTACTCAATGCAAATACATTTTCGCCAAACAGCATTGATATACACAAATTTAGTAATTTTTGTCTTTTTTTCTATATAAGTTAAAGATGAGTGTAAAAAAACTGTATATTGTATGAGGTTTAAAACTGCTGCTCTCCAATACCAGCTAGATCTTTTGTATATTTGATGATAATAATGGAATAAGAAGAGCTGTATGCTATGTATATTGTTATTGTATATTATTGAGGATAACTGGTCTGGTATAAAATATTGGAATATACAATTTGTTATTCCCTCTAGAATATTTCCCATTCTAGGATAGTAGGGATATTTACATTTCTATAGTTCAGAAAATACACCTACATTGTATAAACCATAGTGTGTATTCCCTTTAACTAACTTATCTACTGTATAACTCATGCTTTATAATAAATTTCAAAAGTGTGTATAATCTTGGCATGATTTACATATTATGAGCCATTTGAGAGGGAAAATATCTTGACTATGGGAAGGTGGAATTACTCAATGCCCTAATATCATGATTGGGTCTTCATATAATACAATTCACAGTTCATAATATTATTTTTAATGTAAAAAAAGAATTGCTGTAAGAAATGCATGCTACATGTAAGAAGTACTCCTAGATACTGTTAGGTTTTTCTTTAGAATTCCAGCTGTATACATTGTGCTTATAATTCTTTTTACTGTATTTCTGGGTTAAGTGCCAACATGATCTATTTCTGATAAACAGTATACTGTTGACATGGCTAATTTGACCTGTGTCATACAACCTATGTTTATATAGTGGAGTTGTGTTGACATATAATACAAATTAAAATTCCTCTACATTACAGTCAGAAATAATTACAAAGTATGTTGAACCCATCAAATATTCCCCATTTAAATATCCATATATTATTTGATGTTTTAAATAATTGCATGTTTTTTTCATACACAGTAGGCTTAAGGACATGTAATATGAATTACCAGATTAGGATTAGGTCTAGTCTTGTATCAAAGCAAACTTCACCTTCAGTGATATTTGATTGCCCAGTTGTTGAGAATGGTCACACAAACATTGTTTGTTATTCATTGATTTATGTTGTTGTAAATAACTTTTACACATGCAAAGTTGATTCCTATCTTTATATGGTACATGTAGATATGTTTGTTGTAGAATTCTGAATGCAGTGCTTGTCTTACGGTCACTAAATAAAATCCAAATGCTAACATCAAGCTTATACATGTAGGAGATTTCTTTCCTACATAAACATGGGATGTGTTTGCGGATATCCATATGGATAACTTTCAAAATATTAATCTGAAAGGGAAAGCATATTGTAATAGTGATAGTTACTGGCCTACATTTATATGAGGGGTGGGGTGGGCACTAAATTTGAAATCTAATAAGATGTATGAAATACATGTAGGAGGGGTAGGAGAAGCAAAATGCTTTTGGGAAGTTGGAAGATAAAACCCCAACAGAATTATGTATCAAAGTGAATGGCCTTGCACTAAATTTGTCACAGGTGTGATTAAAGATAACTGAACTTTACATGTTAAAAGTACTCTACTGCTCATGATAGTATTGAAAGTAACTGTGAAATAAAATCTGTGATTATATTACATGTATATAGTAAATAAATCTGTAGATAGGTAAATAGACAGCAAAATATATAGTAGAACTTACACGCCTAATTATATCAAAATTGTCTACCTGCGTGCACCTGAAAAAAATGTTTAATTCGATAGTCCCATGATAAATGTATTTAAGGAAGATGATTATTATCTGTACATGTATAATATATACAGGGTAAATTGTTGAACCTGCTATTTATTTGACATTCTAGATTGCATGTTGTAAATATAGAAAAAACTTTCTCGACTGAATTAATTGAGATATGTACTTGGCACATGTACATGTTATATCAAGCTGAAATCATTTATTTGATTTGTGATTAATAAAGTGTATAATGTTATGAATAATAATGTACAGTTAAAACTGACATAATGACCATTTCATTAATCTGCTGTTAATATATACAAGTGCCTCTGCTTCTCTAATATCAAAAAAAATAAATGTTGGTTTCGACCATAACATCTTCAACAATATGTCCCAAAATGTTTCATTTTTTAAATATTTGTTGAAAAAATATTTTAATTTCATTTTGGTTTTATGTCACTATTTCGATGCTTATATTATTGTTTGTTATGAATGAAAAGGCTTATGTTAAACTGATTGTTGAGATATATATATATATATATATATATCGAGATATAGATAGATAAATATATATCAAATGTATATGTGTGTGTATATGAGTTGTGTTACTATATGCTTTCTCTGTATAATGCAATTATCACTGGAATCTCGACTACAAAGTCCAATGTACTCAACAGCGAGCAAATAAAAGAACCTTGGATAGTTTTATTCACTGAAAGTAGGTGGAAACACCAGCATGACACTCCTGACCATAGAATTCAAAATGGCCATATGTTAGTCTGGAAATGACCAAAGTCTTGTGTTGACAGATGGTTGACTCCATTCCTTTCATTTCCTTCACAATTATTCAAAATAATTTGAAAATATAGACTGTTTACATGGAAGATGATGTATGCCATATCTTAAGGACAAAATAAATGGTCAAGTAGCCGAGTTTCTGTAGTCTCCTCTTCATGTATATGGAGACATTTATGTAAGCCATAGACAGAGAAAGTATTGGTAAGCAGTGTGAAAGATTGAAACATTGTTAAAAATGTTCAATAATGTACATACTACAAACCATGTAATAAATTAAAAAGTATATGTATAATATATATGTTAAAAGGGGAAAAAAAACCACTAATAAAAACAGATCTGGGAAATCGACAAAAATATCAGCCATCTTGTATGTTAAGTTGATTTGATGTTCATTAATATATATATATATATATTTTTTCTCTCTGAAATAGTTTTTTGTCCAGAAATATGTAATGTATCATATATTCATATGTAATACAATTCTGGCAAATAAAAAAAAAAGTTTGAAAAAAATAACAAAAAAATGTTTAAAAAATGAAATAAAATAGTGAAAAATAAAATGCCTGTTTGGTTTATTCTTATAACATTTGGAAAATCAGCTATGCAGTTGCTGACTTCCAATATTACCCATTCCAGCCAATGTAATAAAAGGTCTTAGGCTTTGCTCTTATACAATTACCGAAACTTATTTAGTAATTAAACAACATGTTTCATGGCTTGTGCTTTAGATCATTGAGTCAAGTGGGGTGGTTTCTATCCTAACCTAACCTCATGGGTTACAACAGTTTCCCCTACAGCTACAGACCCCTACGAGCAAACGAATTATTGAAATAAAATTGTACCATTCATGTTAGTCCTAAATATACTACTGCAACAAAATTGTGTAAATTTATGAATATGAAAGTTCATAACCCCTTCCCACCTCTTATAAAATGTTTAATCACTTCAATAATAATCTGTCATCAAGTACTCTTCAAATGCCTCTAATAATAGAAATGAATTTTTCATCTGAAAAACAAATTACTTTGTTTAAAAGAATGAGAATTTTCTGATAACACAAGATGAATATTGATTAAGATCTTATATTTCATTTGGAAATTTATTAACTAATTAAATCTCCATTAAAAATCAAGAAGGCAAGTTAAAAAAAATGTTAAAGTTAATAATTTTCCACAACAATTGTTTTAGTTGCCACACTGGTTGAACCTCTTTGATAAAAGATTCTTTTATCTTTCGAAAACACACAATGAAAGATTTTGAATATGACATTTTAATAGGATTTCACAATTTCTTTGAAGTGGTTGAAACGAACAGAAGTTGTAATATCTTTTAAGGGGTGATTGAATCCTAATCTAGATTCTTTCCAGATTCTAATTCAGTTCTGTTTATTTTCTAAAGATTTTCAAATCCGAATCCAAATTCAACAACAGAGAAAGTCAGTTTTTGTGAAATCAAAGTCTGGTTCATCTGGATTAGAATTTGTGTTGACTCAAGAGACCAATAGCACAAAAATGGCCATATCAGAGTGAGATACATGTAATTACCTTCTACTGTTACATACTCCTTTATTTCTACTGGGACAACATATAGTCATTCAGATGGGACTAAAAACTGAGGTCCAGTGTACACATTGGAGTGCACGTAAAAGAATCCTTGACCACTGGAATTCAAAACAAGAGTAGGGCATAGTGCTGCTGTCCAGGCAAAATTTCCCTCATAGTATAACTGCAAGACGTATGCCCGTCTTCATCCAGTCGTAGCAGAAAAGTAGGACGTTAAAGCCCATTGCATTTCATATTTCATCTCTTTTCCTTTATTCTACCCCCATATACTCCTATTTGTTAGTGAATACTGCCCTCTTGTTCAGCAGAGACATGATGACCCTAATCCTGAAGTGTTGAGATCTTTAGATTATATAATTTACATCAATCCATACTATTTTACCCTAAACTAAAAAGCTACCATAGGTATACTTAATTGCAATCAAATATGCAACATAGGTCCCTAAAAAACAACGCATTTAGGCAAGTAATTTATGCATTGATTTCGTTGATGTGATGCTTTGTGAGTAATTTGAGTAACCACTGGTTTGGTTAGTATTCTTACATTCTAAGAACTGAACTGCTATTTAATCAGCTGAATAGTTTCAACAACTTTATTTCTTAAATAAGGGAACACACCCCCTTGAAAACTCTCTTTATTAATTTGGTTGGCAACCAAAATAATGTTTGTGATGTTATAGGCAGTGCTACCATTTGGCAAATTAGGCAATGGTCTAGGGTGCAGACCTCAAAGATACCAGTACCTTCCTTAGCTTTGAAGCAATATTGTTACTTGTCACTACTTATCCCAGTAGCAATTTTTTACCACCTTTTATAACTTGCTCGAGTTGTCATATTCACAGCAGCACAAATTGAAAGAAACATATTAAATCTTATTTTCCAAAAGTGATTCATGCTTATTTATTACGATATTTTGCGGGGAATGCAAATAGTTGACATATAAACATTGGACATTATTATCCATGCATATTTCAGTTCCAATCTCTAAATCATTTAGCATATTCAAATAATAGTATTATAAAAAAATTGCTTTCTCACGACAAAATATTTTGGCTGGCATAGACTCTTTGCCATTATAAATTTCTGCAACTTTATCCAGAAAAATATGGAGAATAGCAAATATGACCAAAAAATTATGCAGCTGTTAATACAAATCCATTCATTGAAATCATAGGAGCTAAATCTCTGTTCTTTGGTACCTAGAAATGGACATAAATGGGACACAATACATATAATAATGTAATATGAATGTATATAAACTGATTTACATTCAATCGTTTCTGTTTTTACTGTAATTTCTAATCAGGTATTGGCGAAATACACGAAGAGTGCAAATTGAATGGCAGTCTTTGGCATTTGGTTATTCCATTCTACTCCGGTAGTCTTTCATTGAGGGATTCTCGTCCATCCAGTCACTCTATGACATGGCACTCAAAAGCATTCTGGCACACGATTTGTGTGCCAAGTTTCAAATTTTCATTGTGTTTTAAATATTGGATACCAGAAGCCCAACCTCAATGACAACAACATCAATGTTGATTTAAATTGACCAATAAGTCATGTTTGCAATGTCAAAGACTGTGGATGATACTGAGTTAAACAAAAGACTTGGTTACTTTAAGTGAATTTAAACATGTTCATTTATTATAACCAGTGGCTGCCAGGCAGGATACGTCCACATTTTGCAGAGATGGATAGAGAACAAGCTAAAAACAAAAACGATTTTTTGTACAATCAGGGGCCATAATCCAGGAAGTTATGGTCTGAAATGCGCAAATATCAAAAAGGACTGAGTTTTTTGGAATATAAAGATATGTTTTAAGTTTCATCAAAATTGAATAAAAATTGTGACGGCCATTTTGTCGGGCAGTTTCATTTCGATTTTTCCGAAAGTCAAATTCAACCTTCATTATGGTGGAATGGTGATATATATAAACGGTTTTTAAAATCAGAAAAAAAAATGTGACCTCTAGAGCAGTGGCAGCGCCAGCCGTCGGTGGTTGGAGGGGCAAAGCTGGGGCAAAGGTTAAGGGAGCAAAGGCACGAGCTTCAACTAGGGGTGGGGGGGATCCCCCAGAAAATTTTGAAAAACAGGTTGCCGGAAATGCAGCCTGGCAGTATTTCAGGCACTAATCGTTGAGTTAAAGTGTCAAACGAACGGACTTGAGAACCTCGACGAAGCCCACTCACAAGCATCAAAGTATGGAGTCCTTTCGGAGGGTATGGGGGACCTCCCCCAGAAAATATTGAAAAATAGACTGCCGGAAATGCTGTCTGACAGTATTCAGTCAGGCACCGATCGTCAAGATAAATAGATCTGACTAGATACCGTCCGTCGCCTGATTACTAGTTTATCCGACCAGAGAACAAAATGTCAAACGAACGAATGTCAACGAATTCCCCTTATGAGCGCCAAAGTAGCGAGTGCTTGTGGGGGTATTGGGAACCTCCCCAAGAAAATTTTGAAAAATTGACTGTCGGGAATGCTCTACAATATGCAAGTCTATGACTGAGTGGGGATGTGGGATTTATTCACCGTAAAAGGTATTGATTACCGAAACGTACGAATACTTTTTTTTATTTTCTAAAATTATTGGGGGGGGCAAACAGAGGGCAGACCAGATTTATGGGGGGAGGGGGGCAAATGTCCCCCCCCCCCTTGGCGCCACCACTGCTCTAGAGAATCCACAAGCTAAAAATGTGATTTTTCGACCATTCAGGGGGCATTATCCAGGAAGTTACGTTCGGATATGTGTGATTATCAAAACGAACCAAGATCTTTATGATAAAAACATATATTTAAAGTTTCATCCAAATTGGATAAAAACTGTGTCCTCTAGAGTGTCCACAACCTTGATATACCATATTTTTACACTATTTACGTACAAGGGGCGTCCATTTTGTCTGTCAGATTTCGTCCAATTTTCAAGAAGTTCACACCCAGCCAAACTTACGGTGTAACTGTGATATATTCGAACGTTTTTTTAAATCGGATAAAACTTGTGACATCTACTGGGACCACAAGGTCAAAACACGATTTTTTGTACAATCAAGGAAGTTACGATCCAATATGCGCAAATATTGAAAGGAACCAAGATCTGTGGGTTATAAACATGCATTCAAATTTCATCAAAATCGGATGTAAATTGTGACCTCTAGAAGGTCCACAACCTTGATATACCAACCATGATTACGGTGATATACTAAAATGTATATTTAAATCGGATAAAAATTGTTACCTCTAGAGAGACCACAAGCTAAAAGCGCGATTTTTCGTACATTCAGGGGCCATAATTCAGGAAGTTAAGATCGAATCTGTGCAAATATCGAAAGGAAACAAGATATTTGGGATATAAACATGCATTCCAAGTTTCATCAAAATCGGATGAAAATTGTGACCTCTAGATGGTCCACAACTTTGATATACCATATTTGTCCCCCACCTTTCAAAGAAAGCAGGGGACTATTAAAATGGTTTTCGTCCGTCCGTCTGTCTGTCTGTCTGTCCGTCACACTTTTTGGGACACAATAACTCTCCTTCTAATTGAGCTAGAATGTTCAAACTTGGTGTAGATGTTTATTAGGTCACTGCCTTAATGGATCTCGAAGATAAGCATTTTTCAGCATTTATATTTTATGCTGACATTTTATTGCTTTAAATCTTCCTAGTGCAAAAACAGAAAATTTCACCTTTTGACATCCGGGGCCACTAAGACAAAAGGTGAATTTAGTAAATTTATATTTTTATTGAAAGAGTGATTACGTTTGA